GTGTGGGACTTGGCGGAGCCAAATAGGACTCACATGTATCTGGACAATCTTGCCAGCAGGATTGCCACTGGAAGTTCCCAAATACCAGATTTTCCTATTCAGTGGGTTTCCATGCCGATTTGGTCCACCTGTAGTCCACAGATGGCGCTCGATATCTGAAAACTCTCCTGCTATTATGACCTGAATAAAGTGTTTATAAACATAAAAAAAATGAATCTTCCTCAATACCTCACCTCTGCAAAGTTCCACCATCCCCTAGTACCACCCTGGGGACCAAGCCTTTAATGCATGGACCTTTGGGAGACATTCCATATCCAAACTATAGCAAGTTTTGTACAAGTCATCTCTCAGAGAAAGTGGTGGGTGGGAAAGAAGCCCAGATAAACCAAGTTATGTCAGAAACAAGGGAGAAGCCAATTTGCTCTGTGTTTTAGTTAGCCTTTTCTTTGCTATGACCAAAAGACCTGACAAGAACAACTTAAAGGAGGAAAAGTTCATTTTGGCTCAGAGTTTCAGAGATTCAGTTCATGATAGATAAACTCAATAGCCCTGGGAACCAGATGAGGCAGATCATCACGGCAAAAGGGCGTGATAGAGGAAACCACCGCACACCCAGGAATCCAAGAGAATTCTGCTCTTTAGGGACAAAAAAATAAACCCCCAAGTCATGCCCTCAGTGACTCACTTCCCGCAGCCACAACCTACCTACCTACAGTTACTACTCAGTTAATTCATATCAGTGGATTAATACTCTAATTTGGCTAAAGCTCTCATGATCTAAACATTTTACCTCTGAAAAATTTTGCATTTTCTCATATACGAGCTTTGGGAGGACACCTTATAGCTAGTTGTTACTCTTTTGAAGGACAAAAGAGGCTCAAAAATGAACTAATCATGTTTTTTTTTTTTTTAATTTCATGAGTTGATATCCTGGGTTTGGCTGGGTGGGGGGCAGGGCTTTCCGCCTGGGGATCCACTTCCACTTCCAGAGTTAGCTCATTCCTAGAGATAATAAGCAGTTTTCCAGTGAATATGCAGACCAACCAATCTACAGCTTAAACACCAACCACTTCTTTTATCTAATTCTCATATTCTAAGCCAATATTTCCCCTACCTTATATCAACCTGGGGCCAATGATCAGGTAGTACAGAACAGGCCCTACTTCCTCAAACCAACCAGTCCTAAGCTGTTTGCCCTGCCTCGCCGGACTTTCCTGCAGAGTCCACCACAACAGCTGTGCCTTCCCCTCCCTCCACCCGCATCCTGACCAGCTCTGGGGCTTCCTCCTGTGGCCCTGTGTGGTGTGCTGTGCCTCTTACTTCCAGGGGAACCGTGAGTAACATTGAACTTTCCTTTCGCCAGCATTGACCTCTCTATTTTGTCACATACTCAAATTTTTGAAGTAACACTCAGGCACGTATTAAAATGCATGAAAGAAAGAGCCCACCTATGAGTTGTTTCATTCACCAGTTCATGATGAAAATAGCAGCGAGTACAGAAATGCCTTTTTAAAACCAAAGCTCAGTTAAGATATATTCCATGTGTGTATAAATATGTCCAGATGGACTCTACTGTCATGTGTAACTAAAAAGAACAAACAAAAATAAATAAAATAGAACCAAAGCTCAGAAAAGTTGAATGACTTGCCCCGAGGTCAGATTGACAACACCCAGGGGAGGCAGATTTGAAACCATGCCACCAGGTACCGAAGTACCCACCCTTAACCTTCTGTCCAGGAGCCACACAGTGCTAAGGGCTATGCATGCAGAGTGGATGGGACAGCCATCATATCTGTTCTAGTGGACTTTTCAATCATTTCAGTGGGGAGACAGATGTAGATAAAACCATTCTGCAAACCAACGTGTACTTTGAAGCCAAAGAGGTGCTAAAAATACAAGGTAGCCAAGGATTCAAATAAGAATATTTTCAAGTACAAATAGCCTGAGGTGGGAGGAAGGTGGCAAATTTTGGTTACTGAATGAAGATCAGTAGAGTTGATTTAAGAAGTGAAAAAAAAAAGGGGTAGATTTACTGTTAATAATATATTTTATTTTATTTAACCCAATATATCCAAAATATCATTTCAACACAATTAGTAAAAAGTGTTGTTAATGAGATATTTTCATAAGAATTTGAAACTAGTGTATTTTAATTTTACCCCATAGTACTTTTCTATTTGTACTTGACACATGACTAGTCTGGAGTAGCCACATTTGACGAGTGGCTACAATATTTCATATTGAATAACATACGGATGGATTATCTAGGTAAAAAATTGTACAGTGATAGTTAGATTCTCACAGCCCTTAAGAGACACAATTCTGGCATTTGGTTTTGCTAATATAAAATATGATGCCAATTTGATTGATTTTCTTTTGTCAGTAGATTTTTTTTTTTTCATTTGGTTGCTGTTAGGTTTTTTGTTTTGTTTTTGTTTTTGTTTGGGGTACTGGGAATTGAAACCAGGGCCTTGTGTGTGCAAGGCAAGCACTCTATCTGTGACCTATATCCCTGGCCCTTGAATTTCTTTTATCTTCAATGTTTTGCACTTTCACTATAATGTGGCTGATAGTAATTTATGGTTTTTTTGCTAATGATTCAAAGAGGTGTTCAAAGACCTATATCTTTTAAAAATTGGTATTAATTTAAATTATTTTTATTGAATAACATTTCTCCCTGTTTTCCAAATACTTACTTCAAGGACTGGTATCAGATAAATGTTTGATCTTATTCTGTTCTCCATGTCTTTTAGCTGTTGTTTGTAATTTTTACGTTTCATTATTGTATTTGAAATGTTTCTGTAGTACTTTCTTCTGCTTTTCCTATTTTCTCACCAGCTGTATCTAATTTTCTTGTAGACTGTGCATTGGGTTTCTAATTTCAATGACTAAGTTTTTCATTTCTTACACCTCCACTTAATTCTCTTTAAAACGTCTTTTTAAAAAATTCTGACCTATTTTTTTCACTATAGTTCCTGTTGCTTTTTCTATCTTCTTGATTCTTTTGTTTATTTTATAATCATTTTCAAATTGTCCTCTTAGCTCCCGTTCTCAATTTGGGTCATTTGCCAACCTGATATCATAGTATTTCATTTCCTCGTTGAATTTCAAATTGTCATTGTGAATTCACATCCAGTGGGATTTTTTCTTTTCACTCATAAATGGGTCACGAAAGTGTCCCTTTAATGAGATTTTTTTGTTGTTGTTTTTGCATTTGCAAGAGTTCTAGAAGTTTTTTTTTGTTGTTGTTTTTTGTTTTCTTTCTTTCCATGAAGTAAATATACATATATGAAGTAAATATACTATACATTTATGGTTTCTGAGATTCCATTTATTAAAGGTCACTATTTTCATCCCTGACCTTAGGAAGATAAGGCAATTTGCCTTTTTTCCCAAGCTGTGGGCAAAATTTTGTTGTCTTGGTTTGAAGGACGGAGCCTGTCGTGACTCTAGGCTTTACGAAGAGACTTTCATAAAATATATATTGACAAATTATAACTCTACATATTTATGGGGTATGAAGTGAGGTTATGATTTTTGAATACAATGTGGATAATTAAAGGATGCAAAGCCTCAGGAGAAATAAGTTTACTTTTTCTAAAAAGATCTGTTGAGGTCTGTTGCAGGGTGTGGTAAGCAGGGCTAGTAGTTGAATACTTTTCCTTGTCCCTGGGAGGGCAGATCTCGAATGCACGCATCCCAGAAGATGCAGAGGCTTTGTCAGGCTTCCCAACTCCTGGCTTTGGTGCCACACCTGGCATCAGCACCGGCCTCTACAGTCTCTGTTTGGGCTTAGCACCCAGAGGAGCCATGGGGAGGGGACACCCATTTATTGCAGTCGCTTGGCTGTGGGTTCCCTTTCTCTTTTGTTTCCCTTTCTTGGATTCTTTCCAAGTTCAATTCTGTAATTTTCTTATTTCTGATTGTAGTAGGAAGGGCAGCCCTCCTGTCTTCTCCACCCGCCCTACTTCTAGAAATCTTCCAGGCATTGCTTTAATTTGCATAAGTCTTAAGAAAAGTCTTTCTCCATATACTTGTTTCCATATACTTCATATTTTATGTGGTGGTGTAAACAATCTTTTAAACTTCAGGGTTGTTGGGACCAAACATTTTATTATATTGTTTGTTACAGATCTAGAGAGAAAACATAGGCAGACTTTCCTTGTTAAAGTAGAAGAGCAAAAAAAAAAAAAAAGAGGCTATGTATGTGGTTTAGAATCAGAGGGGGTCCGAACCATGGCCAGAGTACTGACTCTCGACCCTGACTTTGGGACATAAGCTCCATGAGAGGAGACACATTGAGCCCCATTCACAACCCTACAGTGGTACAAAGAAAGCCAGCAATGAATATTCATTGGACGGATAGAAATAAACAAACGGCGAAGTCTCTGAACCTTTCTGTGTTCATCTATAAAATAAAAATAACAGTATTAACATTGTTCAGCTGCTGTGCAGCTTGGAGGTGGTCCGGGTTAAGTTCCAGGCACACTGCACGTGATAAAAATGCTCTGTGGTTCTAGAAAAGGCAGGGGCATGGCTTGGCTTAGGGAGTGATCAAGGTGGATCAGGAGAGATTTTATAACTAGACTTTTTTTTTTTTTTCTGACACTTTCTCTACTCAGTGAACTTCCCAATCATTAAATCATTGTGTTCACCTCTGCATGTCTTCTAATTTTATCTACATCTCTGACTGAGAAGGCTGTCAAGATGGCATGTAGCTCTCGTGGCCCTGTGCGTGGTGCTTACCTCCCTGTCCTTCATGCCCTTTCACAGACTCCTTCCCTCACAATTAGTGCTTGTTTTCTTGTCATCCTTTCACTTCAAAAGGCAGCCCCTCACTTGCTGTCCGCTGCTTCCTTAGCGTTCTCTCCACATCCTTTGAACACATTGTAAAGGTCAATTTGGAATCAGATCTTCCTTCCTCCCCTGTTCCTGTAACCACCTTGTCTCTGTAGCTAGAGGCTCTTGCTGAAATGGTTTTTAATCCTTCAGTGACTTACCTCTATTGTTTGACTTGGTTTCTATAATTTGAGAGCTACATGTGATTTAGAAGCTCTTGATGCAGGGAGTTTATGATACACGCAGTGATCTTCGACTTTGAGAGCAACGCAATGCCTCCCCTTTGGGCTGTTTCCCCTGTGTGCATGGCTCTGCCTGGTATGGGGGAGAAACAAGGAAGCAAAAGTCTCAGTCTCTGACTCAGAGAAGAGCATAGTTTTGTTGGGGGATCGTACCACAGGTGGTGTAATAGGATAGTACCAAGGAATATGGAGTCAAGTGGGAAATGATGTGACTCAGACTATGAGGGCTGCATGCATTTAGAGATAAAAGAGATTGCCGCTTTCCCGGTGACATAAATACTCAGACCTTT